TGGGGGGGGCAAACCTACGCAGCAATATTCAATGTCTATACAAAGTATATATTTGGAACCCCCCCCCCCCCCCAACACTTTAATGGCTAATAGCTGAATCTGGACAACAAACAAGAGAATTTTTAACAAGAGAGTTTTCAAAAAGCTAATTGTAAGTAGAATGTGGAATTCTCACGGGGGGGGGGGGGGGGGGGGGGGGGGGGTTCCACTCTCTTTTTCTCTGCTTTTTCTAGTAATCATTAATTATTTATGTCTAGAAATTCAATTCACATTAAATACTATTTTCATTATCATTGTACCACAGAATCAAACTCATTTATTATACCCTTCGCAACAAGTTGCGTGAGGTATAATGTTTTGGACCCTTCAGTCAGCCCTTTTTTTGGTCAGCGCAACTTCTTACAAACTAATGCACAGAGTTTTGTTGAACTATGCTGATATTCATAGTAGTAAATGTGTCTGTATTTGTACATCACCAGAAAATTCCGAAATCTTTACTTTTTCGGGAATTTCCGCACTTTTACATGTTGATTTTGGCCATTTCTTGAATATAAAGATGAGCAGTTTGTCCGCACAATTCCTCATAAACCGGTGCATACAATTTCTTCAAACTTAGCAGATAATTAGGACACAATGTGTATAGATGTGCATATTACAAGGAAATTACGATTCCCTAAGTTATTTTTTCTGTGAATTTCAGCACTTCGACTTTTGTGGGAACGTGGGGTATGTGAATTTGCTCACTTTTTCTTTCATTGTGCATAAAATTATAAATAACTTAAAATCAAATAAATATATTAGGTCTAATAAAGCCAATACACAGTATTTTTTTTTTAATTATATTTGATCATAAAGAAATCCGATCTGTTTCAGACGTTTTCTTTAAATAATTTTATGAGAGTGTTAAATGTTTTATTAGCCCCCCCCCCTTTTACAGGAAAATATCTTCATTCTCCAAAAGATGAATGATTCGAATTAATGCATGCTTTATTATAAATCTGATGACGTTAAACAATGTTTCAAAAATTTTATTTACACCATTTAAAGACAAGAATAATGTTTATTCTTGAAAATAAATTATTTGCATTTTCTTTAGATTTCAACCTTTGCATATTTTCCCTGACCAAAAAAATGATCGGCATGGACCACGTGTGTCCAAGTAGTTTTTTACTGTTGAGTTAGCAATGGATTACATGATTTCTGACATGCATTTTTCAATAAAAGTAAAATAGGATAATTCTTTCGACATGTGCACATCCCTGGAACGATAGCAGTATTCAGGTAAATATTTCTATCACTGCGTTTGACGCGTTTTCTCGACTGACCTGCATGGCATTTTTGCTCTACTTGAATATTTTCGGTGTAAGTGTACTTTCTATATTGCAGCAAATGATTCAAAAATAATTTAATTCTCGGTATAGTTCTAGTTTTTGTTGAATTTTTACTTTTCAAAATGATTGGTCAGTTTATGGACTTATCAAAACTATGCTACAGATGTCACATGTCGACAGCCAGGACTTAAATATTCACATGTCACAGTGAATATTTAAAAGTTTATATAGTGGTGGCCAAAAATGTTCGAAAAAAATGACAGAGGGCTTAATTATGAAAAGAGTGAGTGTATGATGATACCAAAAATTCTTAAAGAAAGTGGAATTGGTGAGAATGTTTACAAATCACAAATATTTTCAATGAACAAAGGGGAAACACCTAAAAGTATGACGGTGCGTATCCGTCATATGACGTTATATGTAAGTGCGGCGACTACAATAAACGCACGTTGTTTAAAATCTGATATTTTGGAAAGTATACATCATATTCCTATGAATTTTTCAGGTCTGATTTCAAATAAATAAAGCTTCCATCTTGTATAATTTTCTTGCTTAACGTCGATTAATAGCAATTTTATCAAGGTTGTGACATTACCTTTGGATCAACCCTCGTATGTTGATCGTTAATCCTCAATGTGACAGGAATAATACATAAAACTAATTATCTGTTTCTAATCAGATAGCTTATCCAGCATGCTACACATTTATGGCGAAATGCTTTTGATTTGCTGTTGCTAAAATCCCAAGTGGAAAGAAAATTTTATATCACAAGAGGCTCATGGGCCACATCCCTCACCTGAGTAGCTTTGACCATGTTGTTCTTTAAATTACCAGATTCCCCTCCTTGAAATAAGATATTTTGACCCTACCCGACGGGTCAATGACCGTCATAATTTTGAAAAATTAAAATCTACACTACCCTATGATGCTTTCACATACATTTCAGCTTTCAGGACCGAGTGGTTCTTGAGACGAAGATTTTAAAAGTTTTTTTTTCCATATATATTTCAATTTATTTCAAATTATAGCCCCGCCCAGCCCTCGGGGGTCATCGAAAGCAAGTCTGGTAGTGGCCATCCCTAGATGCTTCATCCATGCAAGTTTTATCCAGGTAGGGCATAACGTTTCTTGGGAATAGACCTGCTCAAAAACTTGAATTTGGTCACTCATAAAAAAATGTAGGTCAGATCAGCATTGTAAACAGGTTTGGTGGTGTCCATCCCTCCATCCCTAGATGCATTATCATGCAATTTTAGTCTGGGTAGGGCTTATAATTACTTGGAAATCGACCTGCACCAAAACCTTTGGCTTGCTCATTTGGTAAATGTAGGTCAATTTCAGCATCTGAGGTAAGTTTTGTAGTACACATTCATAGATGCATCGTCCATGCAAGTTTGATCCTTGTAGGGATAATAGTTCCTTGGGAATAATGGACCTGCTCCAAAAACTTAAAACCTGGTCACTTCTGGAAAATGTAAGTAAAATCCAGCATCTGAAGCAAGTGATAGTTTCCATTCCTAAATGCATCATCTATGCAAGTCTGGCATGGGCAGGGCTTATAGTAACTTTGGAATGGACCTGCTCCAAAAACTTAAACCTGATCACATCTGGAAAATATAGTTCAAATACAAAAATACTAAGCAAGCCTGGTTGTGTGCATCATTGTTTTCATCATTGAAAAGTTCTTCCATATGACATATTTGCAACAACAAGAACTAAATACAGGGGGATCTTTGGCCATAACACTAACCTCATTTCTATGCAAAAATATGACCCCCATTTGTGATCCAATCCTTCCAAAGAGGGACCAAGTTTAAATCAAAGTACTGAAAGTACTCATCGGAATTGAACATGGTGTAAAATAAAATCTTTGATCGGGAAGTTAAGTGAGGGAACAATATTATTATTTCAAATACACCTTTATACAGACAACTGTTTCAGATTTTTTGTGTTGGAACACTCTTGAGAAAGACATTCATAGACATTGAATAGCAAAAATAGGCATGGGTCATAATTCTTGCCTGCCTACATTAGTTCTTTTTTATATCCCCTGCTTGAAAAGCGGGAGGGTATTTATTAATCGGGATGTCCGTCCATCTGTTTGTTACGCTTTAGGTATACCCATCCCTTATCCACAACTCCTCTTACACCACTGAATGAAATTTTAATAGAATCTTTATTACATTTTGTCTTTGTGCACCTTCTATTACTTTTTCGTCCTACACATATTTTGGGTTTCCCATTGCATTTAACATGGACACTGCCATTATATTCATATTAGAGGCAGTTGATCATTTATATAATTCAGTGCTCACGTTACCTCTAGTTCATCTTCAAATGTAATATATTTTTCCTTGGCACCTTTACCCATGTGTTATGAAAATTTCAGTTTCACAGGAATAATATCAATGTTGATAAGATGTGGATTTTCACACAGCATCCTTTTAAAAGCTAACAGGTTTGTTATATGAAACTTCTCTGTTGATATGAATGTATTTCAATTACATGAAGTCAACATTATACATGGAGTATGTCAGAACTTAAATTTTTTAATATTCTGAAGAAACAAGAGGCCCATGGGCCACATCGCTCACCTGAGTAACTTCGGTGATACAGTTCTTTACCAGATTTTCCCACTTCTTACATCTATTATGGTCCCTACCCCATTTAGAATTTAGAATCTACACTACTCCAGGATGTTTTGCCATAGGTTTCAGCTTTCCTGACCCACTGATTCTTGAGAAGACGATTTTTTCCAATACAGGCCCAATCCTACCCCCGGGGGTCATGATTTTAACAATTTAGAGTTTACACTACCTCAGAATACTTCCATATAAGTTTCAGCTTTTCTGACCCACTGGTTGTTGAGAAGAAGATTTTTAAAGATTGTTCCTATATATTTCTATGTAAAACTTGGATTCCCTATTGAAGAAAACTTTAGTTTTCTGTTGAATACAAAACTATGAAAACAAAATAAAGTTAAATTTCAATACTTGTTCAAGAAAAAAAACATGGTCAAATTGAGCTCACAGAATTAAAACTGCGGCTTTGAAAATTTAAAATTTCCTAAAGCAAAAGATGCTATGTGCAAACTTCGTAAATTTTGGCGCAGTGGTTCTTCAGAAGTAAAAATAAGAAATCTTATAAAAAGAACAAAAAACCCAGATCGAATGGAAAGTCTCAGGACAACGGGTGATCCATAAAGCTCACTTCAGTTTTCAGCTCATGTAAGCCATCAATATACTGTAAAAGTACATTTTTCGCGTGGTATTAATTAACACTATGTACGCGGTCACAAATTTTCTGTGGAAATTTGTTCAAGTGTACTTAATATAAATGTAAGGCATTTAGTGACAGTCTAGGAAATCTGCATACTTTTCTACTCGCGGATTAAACAGAAATTGAGATTCCGCGGAATTATGACCCTGTGGAAAAAAGTATGTCTACAGTAAAAGACATATATTATTATACGTATTTTGCCCAAAGTCATCGACATAAATAGAAACTAATTCATTTTGTAAAGACTGTAACAAATTTTATAACCTTATAGGCCAAAAGCTTTCTTGTGTTTGTATTTCTAAAGTATGGCATTAATTGTGCATTTTCACGATAGTTTGGAGATCTGCTTATTTCTTCTTAATTCACATTTTTATAAGACAGAATACTTACATCTTTAGATTTTTTCTCCGTGTGTGTGACAACAAGAAACAGTGGTGCCTTTTTGCCTCCAAATGTCTTGATTGAGGTAATCCAAAACTTCAGGTAGTCTAAAAGAAACAAGAAAGGAACAAATAAAGTGTTAAAATAAAACTAAAAGTCTCTGATTAGAATGTAGCTTTACTGGTTAGTACTTATTAATGAAGCAAGATTGAGAGTTTTCATCCCTTGATGCATCATTTGTGCAACTGGTTTATATAAGCCTAATAGTTTCTTGGTGATATACTTGCACCCATAACTTTTACGAGGTCTATTATCTGGAAAATGTATGTCGAATTCAGCATCTGAAGCAAGTCAATTAGTGTGCATTCTAAGATGCATCATCCATGCATGTTTGGTCAACATAGGGCTTTAAGTTACTTGCAAATGAAATCTTTATAAAAAAAATTAACCTTTCCACTAATCCAGAAAATGTAGGTCAGATTCAGCATCCGAAGCCAGCCTAGTAGAATGCACCCTTAGATGTACCATCCATGCAAGTTTGGTTATTATAGAGCTCAAAGTTACTTGGAAATGAATCCTGTACCATAAACTTTAACCTGTGTACTCGTCCAGAAAATGTAGGTCAGATTCAGCATCTGAAGCAAGTCTGGTAGTATGCATCCTAAGATGTACCATCCATGCAATTTAGTCGTTATAGGGTTCATAGTACTGTACCTTGGAAATGAACCTGCATCCAAAATTTTAACCTGAACACTCAACCGGAAAATGTAGGTCAGATTCAGCATCTGAAGCAGGTCTTGTAATATGCATCCTAAGATGTACCACCCATGCAAGTTGGTCATAATATGTCTCATAGTAAGTTGGAAATGAAACCTTCACCAAAAACTTTAACCTGTTCACTCAATCGGAAAATGTAGGTCAGATTCAGCATCCGAAGCAAGTCTAGTAGATTACATCCTAAGATGTACCATCCAGGCAAGTTTGGTCATTACAGGGCTCAAAGTATCTTTAAAATGAAACCATCACCAAAAACTTTAACCTGTTCACTCAACCGGAAAATGTAGGTCAGATTCAGCATCCGAAGCAAGTCAAGTAGATTACATCCTAAGATGTACCATCCATGCAAGTTTGGTCATTATAGGGCTCAAAGTATCTTCAAAATGAAACCATCACCAAAAACTTTAACCTGAACACTCAACCGGAAAATGAAGGTCAGATTCAACATCCGAAGCAAGGCTGGTAATATGCATCCTAAGATGTACCATCCATGTAAGTTTGGTCAACATAGGGCTTATAGTTACTCGGAAATGAGACCTACACCAAAAACTGCACCAAAAATGTTAACCTGCACCCTAAACATAAGTCTGGTCATTTCTTTGCTGAAATTGCAGCAGGGTTCTCCATCATTTGAGATTTTACCGTGTTGCAGAGTTTACGCGAAGCACCAATATTTCGCGGTATTTTCGCGAACAAATTCGTGACTGAATCAAAATTCATTGGTCGTGCGTACTGATAAAAGGGAAAAAAAGTTAGGAAAAGCAGAGGAAATTCTGACTGATATTCAAACTACTTAACATTTTTGTGAAAGTAGATTTGCAACGTTTATTTATCAGGTTTCTTGATCGAGTTACAGCATTACAAACAAGATGTGTTTGTAAAACACTGATGCCCCCGTATGGCAACATAGCAAAGATTAAGCTTTTATAAAAAGCAAATTTAATTAATTGGTACCAAAAGTAGGGTATTCTCCCTGGAAAACAATTGTGAAATTTGAAAGTAAGCTAATATTATAGGTTTTAAATAAGTACAAAAATCTCCAAGGTTTAGGTCAAAAGGTCAATGTAATTAGTATCAAATGAAAGGTCTTGCCACATAAAATACTTATGTAGAGCATGAAAGCCCTAGCCCTAACCGTTCAGAAGTTATGGTTAACGTTTGATTTCTTAAAAAAAAGGTCAAACTCCAAGGTCAAGTTCAAAGCATCAAAGTTATTGTTATCAAATGAAAGGTCTTGTCATAAGGATCAAATATGTAAAGTATGAAAGCAGTAGCCCTAACTCTTTAAAAGTTATGGTTAAGTTTGCTTTTTTAAAGAAGGTCAATCTCAGAGGTCAAGGTCAAAGGGTCAAGGATCATCATATCCAATAAAGCATCTTTTCACAAGGATTACAAATATGAAGTATGAAAGCCTTATCCCTTACCGTTCAAAAGTTATGGCCAAGGTTAAAGTTTTTCACATGTACGAAAATCTACAAGGTCAAGGTCAAAGGGTCAAGGTTGTTGGTATCCAGTGAATGGTCTTTTAACAAACATTACATATGTGAAGTATAAAAGTCCTGGTGTCTACTGTTCAAAAGAAATGGCCAAAGTAAAATTTAAAAAAAATTCTTAAAAAGTAGGTCAAACTCCAAGGTTAAGGTCAAAGGGTCAAAGTTATTGTTATCAAATGAAAGGTCTTGTCATAGGGATCAAATATGTAAAGTATGAAAGCACTAGCCTTAACTCTTAAAAGTTATGGTCAAAATTTGCTTTTTTAAAGTAGGTCAAGCTCAAAGGTCAAGGTCAAAGGGTCATGGATCTTCATATCCAATGGAGGGTCTTTTCACAAGGATTACATATATGAAGTATGAAAACCCTATCCCTTACCATTCAAAAGTTATGGCCAAGGTTAAAGTTTTTTCACAAGTATAAAAATCT